CTTTACACAATTGATGTGTGTATGGATTGGGATAACAGTTGTATGAGCCCCTAATAAAATGTTAAAAAAAAAAAAAAAAAGAAATGATCTGAACTCAATGCCAGTAAGCGCTGCCAAAGAATTGCACACGTAGAAACGGTTGACCTGATGCAGGTTTTGTGGTACACATTCTCAACAAATAAATGCCAACAAAATAAAATAATAATTTTAGCATTTTTAACACCGGCAGCTTGCAAGGGGGGGATATCCCTACTACTTCTACCCTGATCACTTAGGCAGGGTCTCAGGAGTGATAATGGATCCCAGAGCAATCCCCTAATGAGTTGCCTCTCTCTGAGCCTTGGAGCGGTTTCTCAGGCAGGTGCTGGAGAGGCAGGGTCCCCTGGGCCTTTGTAAACCACCAGCCATTTCAAATCCCCAGGGACCACAGGGAATCTTTGGGGGTGATGGTCTAAGAGAAAAGTATCCTAGAGGCAGACTGGTCCACTCTTGGGTGGTAAGAAATGCCCACCCCGACCCAACCCCATGATGGTCACCCCCACCCTGCCGGTCTTGTTGGAACGAAGTTAGAGACCCTGAAAAGCATGCAGATGGCACATGGAGTTTGACGTCAGGGAAATGGTGGGGGCACAAGAGAGAGACTGAGACTGGTGGGGAGGGGAAGCTGTTTGAAGATTCAATTTGTCCATTTAGAGTCGAGCCCCAACACCTCAAAGGAAGACCATGCTGACCGCTCAGACACCACACGTTTGCTTTAATATCGGGAGTTTGATCCAACCAGCACCCATGTCGGATGAGGCGGAACACACTTACAGCTCACTGCTCTGCATCAGCTCGATCAGATCCATAAAAAGCACATCGCGGTTCCGCTCACAGAAGCCATCCATGTCATAGGACACCTAGCCAAGAATGGAAAGAGATCTCATTTTACCCTTTGAGGTATTTCATGGAATAAAAAAAAAAAAAATCAAAGTCGACAAGGGCATCTTCACCCGAGAGTGTCTCTTTCCCGGTGCAGCATCTGAGATTTCATCCTGAACTGTCACTTTACAGCTGCACTGTCTCACTTTAGCTCGGGAGCGGACCTCGCGGGGTATGGACCAGCAGGTGCTGATGAAGGGCATGCAGTGACCTTGATGACCTCTGAGCAGGACTCCAGAGCTCAAGATCACAGACCCCTGCTTCAATGGCTCCACCAGGATCGCCAAGGATAAACGTCATCCTTCCCATCGATTGCCGTTAAGACGGGATGCTCATTAGTCCAGAGTGCTGGGCCAGGCCATCAGAAGCTCTGCCGTCTTTGATGCCGGAGGCTTGCCCGCTTCCACCAAGGACGCACGCTAACCAGGGGCGCTGGTTAACGAGAGACTCCTCAAGGTGAAAGGTGAGGCCAGTGGATTTCCACAGGAACCGGAGGTCCCCAAGAACAATGACCCCCAATTACTTAGCTTTGTATCCCCTGGGCCCATACAGTGCCTAGCATCTGGTAGGCCACCAACACCCAGGCATTTAATGAGAACAAACACCGATGTGAGCTCCTGGCCCTACTGACACAGGCCTGTGATGGGCAGAGCCTCGGTGGGGGCAGTGAGAATCCACCCCCAAGCACTTGGGAATCAGAGCCTGGTGATCCACTCTCAAGAAAACCAGCCATTGAAAACCCTGTAAAGCGCAATCCAACTCTGATGACCTGTAGGGTCACTGTGAAATAGGACCAATTCCATGGCCACTGAGGCTTGTTCCCCCTCCTCTTTCGTCCTCTGATGGCAGCAGGAGGAAGGGCAGTCCTGCCCAAAAATATTTTGCCTCTTCTTTCCCCCAGTGGTGAAGGCGGGCTGCACACTGATTCTCGCTGGAGAAACACACACAGGGGTGGAGACTATCTTTTGCTGTGCACACCCGTCCCATCCCCAACACTTGGCAGGTCCTGTTAAGTGAATACAGTCCAGTGGGGAGATGGAGCTACGTGGGCACGGATGACATTCGCCACTGGAGAAAACAGGTGTCAGACCCACCCAAAGGCTGGAACCAGGTAGCCAACACCGAGAGTGTCCCTGCCCTTTCCTCGAGACCCCCTGCACGCCGGCCCACCTTCCCGGCGTAGTGGTGGATGATGAAGCCTTGGTTCCAGCTGTTGAAGTGCTCGTGGCTCCCGATCTGCATCTGCAGCTTCTGCAGCAGCGTCTGGTCCGCGCCCTCGCCCACGGCGTGCATTGTGGCGCACACGTCGTCCAGGATGCTCATGATGCCAGGGGGGTTCTGAGGGGACCCGGAAGGCACAGCTCTCATCACTGATGTCAACAATATTCAGTGCTTACTGGCCCTCTCTTAAGTGAGTTCACAGTTCCCTAGACTCAGGATGCGGCACCTCAAGTCAGCCTCTCCATTCGCGCAAGACTAGTAGTCCCAGTGGGGATGTACCACTGAGAGCTACAGATAAAGCAAAGTCCATTTTCCCAAACTTGACTTACCTGCCTGCAGTCATCCACTGGTTATTAACAGCTCTCAGTACAACTAACTGCACTAAGATGCCTTCAGAAACCTAAAGGAATCATTTCCTTTGCCTTTGCTCATGTCTCCATGAGCCACTTGTTAGCCTGCACCCACAAGGCATTGTTTGTATGAAGACATGTACATGCTGTATACATTCCATTATGCATTGCGTTCTTTTATATACATTTCCCACGCTTTACAGTCTTTATACTTCTTATATTCACTCACACTGATATACCATAGTTTTGTTGAATGGTTATACTATGGTTTTAAATGGTTATACTATCTAAGGATATTTTTATTGTTTCCATTTTGGAACGGCTATACACACACACACACACACAACTGTAGAGTCTCTAGGAGACCTGGTGGCGCAGTGGTTAAGCACTGGCTGATAACCCCAAGGTCCGCGGAAAGATGGCGAGGCTTGTTACTTCTGTAGAGAGTTACAGTCCGAGACATGCACAACACACAGGACACTGGGATGCTGTCACATAGGGTCACCATGATTTTGGCTTCGGTAGCCTCTGTCCATATTGCTTTTTATTTTCTTTTAAATGATTTTGTAGGACTAAAGTTCTAGAAGTTGTCTGACGGGGCTAGAAGGTAGGCCAGCTTTATGGTTCACTCCTAGGCTGTGCATCTGTGTCAATGAGTGGTCTTCTCTTAGAGCAGTGCTTCTCAACCTTCCTGATGCCGCGACCCTTTCATACAGCTCCTCATGTGGTGGGGACCCCCAACCATACAATGATTTTTGTTGCTACTTCATCACCGTCATTTTGTGACTGTTATGAATCAGGTGACCCCAAAGGGGTCACGACCCACAGGTTGAGAACCACTGCCTTAGAGTTTAGTAACCACTTCTAAGTGCCAGTTGGCATTGTGCTCATATCCCCTTGTTCACATCGATGAAAAGAATACACCCTACTGTGCTCCTTCCCCACATACACAGAATTACTTCTGGGTCTACAAAATTCTGGTGGCTGCTAAAGCTCTGGGAGGCTCAGAGCTGTCACTCGTTTCTCTAATTCTACACCAAGGACAGCGGACAAGAGCTCGCTCCTGTGCAGCCATGGGCCTTGGGGACCACGTCCAGCAGTACTCACCACTTTGTTCTCTATCAGGTCACACACGATTTTGTTATTGAAGTACTCAATGGGGGTCCACCGGATCCCCTCCTGAACATACTCTTCCTGAAAGACAGAAGAGTAGGAGGCCACATCATTCCAGGTGTGTTGGGTGGATCTCAGAGGAAAAAAAATCACCACGAGGGAGAGAAAGCTTAGCATCCTTGAACAAACACTTGGAACTTGACTTTGGTCTTATTTTCCCTAAGAGGTGATAGATACCAAAGGGGTTTATTTATCCTGGATCCCCTGTGTTTCCAGCTCTTATCTGTACCCGGGTATATGTTCTGGTTTAGCTAGATTTGTAAGGTAGAATTGGGGTCATGACAGTGGGGGTGAGGAAGCATTAAAGAACTAGAGGAAAGCTGTATGTTTCATCAGTGCTATACTGCACCCTGACTGGCTTGTCTCCTTCCCACAACCCTCTGTTAAGGGGATGTCCAGTTGCCTACAGATGGGCTTTGGGTCCATGAATCAGATGGCTGCTTGTATATCTTCAAGCCTTTAAGACCCCAGACACTATATATTTTGATAGCTGGGCTCCATCAGCTTTCTTCGCCACATTTGCTTATGCACCTGCTTTATCTTCAGCGAGCGTGTCGGGAAGGTGTGCATCGTGGAATGCCAATTTAATAGAACAGAGTGTTCTTGCATTGAGGGAGTACTTGAGTGGAGGCCCAATGTCCATCTGCTACCTTAATACTAAACCTATACACATATGTACATAGATCTATTTCCACATCCTCATATATAAGTATATTTACATATGTCCATGCCTGCATTTAGACCTCTATAAATGCTCATTGCCTCCTACTTCTTTCCTCAAATCTTGGTTTCTTGATGACTTTCTTTCCTTCTTAATTTACTGCTAATCATTTGGAGCAAGTCCTGCCGGTTCACTCTCCAAAATGTGTGTTGCACTTGACCACTTGTCATCACAACGTCAGTTCTCCTTCCACCAATGTCGTCTAGGTCCCTACCACCATTTCCTGCCCATTCTACTGCGGGATCCTAACGGCTTTACATTTCTAGTCATCGAACAGAAATCATGTTACTCCTCAAAATCCACCCAGTTTCCACTGTAGTTACTAAAAAATCCAGTCTTTTCCTACTTCCTCCTCGGATTCTTTCACTCTAGTCAATGATGGAGGTTTGGAATTTCAGGGCAGACGTTTATCTGAGAACAGTAAGGAGTAATTAATGTTTCTTAAACAGGAACATGAACCCTCCCAAGGCTAAACATCCTTGAGAAACCCTTTGCTCTGACATCAGGAAAATATGGAAAAAATCTGCACCTGGAATTTAGAAGAAACTAAAAGGAAGACAGGTTACCTCAAGTTAGGATTTGAGTGGCAGCTTTGTTAAAAATTCGATTTACTTTTTGGGAAGCTTGGGAATGAGCAAATCTCAGAAAACCAAATTTTTCCCTTGGAACACAGTATAGGGGCCATCGACAATTGGGGTGGGTACTAAGCTTCCATTTTCCACTCGGTCAATGAGTCAGAGTGTAGGAAAGCAGCCAGTCATAGGTCCACGCCAACAGCATCGCTTGCTTAGAAGAGAGAAAAAGCAGCCGATGGTGCTTCTGTTTCACAGATGAAGATGCCACAATAGCATATGATTTTCTGCCCAAATGTAGGAGGTGCATTTTATAATTCAAGTCGGAAACTGGAGTCTATTATCAAAGGGAGACACCCAATATTCTTCAAAAGGAAACAAATTAGCATCAGAACAAGACAAGGAACAGGCGCTACTTACCTGTTCTGCTTTTAGGGTCAGTTCAATAAAGATCTGCTGTAATTTCTCATTAACAAAATTGATACAAAACTGCTCAAAGCCATTTTTCTGAAAAAGAAAAAAGAAAGAAAAAGATGTCTAAGTTACTCACACATATATACACATCATTTGAAAGTAATTTCGTGAGTGTTTTAGAGAGATGTTTCAGCATGTAAAACCTTAACGGAAATGTTGGATGCAGCAGTAGAAAGAATCAGAGTTTATATTTAGGAGAAACTAATTCAGCAAAGTACATGAAGAACTTATGAAGGCAAATGGGAATCATTTTTTTTCCATCACCTAGAAATACTTCTTGCAAATCAGATGATATAATTTTCCTCCAACCCCCAATTAATCAAACTGTTCCTACCTGGAATATTTCAAAGCCATAGATGTCCAGGACGCCAATGTTGTATTCTTCATGGTCCTTCTCCATTGCCTTGTTGATGGACTAGGAGAAAGTAAACAATAGGGTAATGGATTCCTTCTCATTCATATATACAGGCAGGCTTGCACGGGGAGAAACGGAAGCAGGCCTGCATGGCAAATACCTCCCCCTACTAGAAATAGATGACAATGAAGGCAAGTCAATGGCAGCTGAAGCGAGGGCTCAATACCAACCCAAGCACTTTAGAAAACCACAGGACCCAAGAACCTACTACGATAAGGAGAAAGAAGTTTGTTTAAGGATGATGTCCACTAAATGCTGGCACTTCATTCTTCTCAGGAAGTCTTGAGAAATAAGAGAAAATATCATTGTGGATGGTTTGCGCATACATTTCAGAGAATGAGCTAACATTCCCAGACTTATAAAAGTCACATCCAAAGCCATCCATTCAACAGTCAGTTTGTGACCACCTGACGCAGTGAGACAAGGATGCCGGGGGGGGAAAAGAGGGCAGTCCCCATCCTCAGGAGCCTGTGGAAATGAGGGGCAGGCTGTGGATAATACAGCAGTAATTACACTGAAGGGGATAATAAAAACAGCTTACATGCATTTAGCAGTTCCCTTTACTGAGTGCTTTTCATGTGTTGTCTCAACGAATTGTCACAATAGTTCTCATAACAACAATGAAACCACGATTGTGCCCATTTTTCAGGTGTAGACGCTGAGGTGGGATGAAAGCAGTACTGAGCGAGAGGCAGAGCCTGGGATTCAATCTAGGTCCCATGAAGCCTAAAACTGTTCTTCACCCCTATGAAAAGAGGTCATTGACACACAATGGCATATTAATACACTGAACGATGAGTGCGTGGGTATAGGCCAGTTGCGAGAACAACTGGAGGTGAGTGGGGACAAGGGACACATACAAGACCGGGTGCATCGTCCGTGCCCAGTCAATGTCCCAAGTACATCAGTATCACTTACATGGCACCCCTTTTTCCTTCGACTATAAGCAACTGAAGGATGACAGAGAAAACGTAGGTGGGAAGTCCAGTCCTGGAAGGTCCCCAGAACAGACACAAAAGAGGTGAGGCTTAGTCCCAACTCTGTACCACTCTTGCTGAGTGGCCTTGGGCCAACCCACCAGTCCTCTCACCAGAGAGTCCTCCATCAGTAAAATGAAGGACCCGGAGGAACTAAAAGCCATTCGCATTTAAGAAGTCTGTGGGTAGCACCCAGTTATTTGGAAGATGGGTGGTTCAAACCCACCTACCAGCACGTCTGAAGACCAGTGTAGTGATCTGCTGCTGAACTGGTCACAGGAGAAAGCCCCATGGAGCTGGAGCAAGTCCACGCCGTACACTCGGGGTCTCCAAGGGTCAGAACAGACTCGATGGGAAC